CATGATGATAATTGAAAGTTGTATCAACCAAAAAGATCACAAGTTATTAATATTTAGATTTTATTTTGATTTAAATTGATTAAAAATGAATTAAATCAATAAAAATCAAATAAAATAGAAAAATTAATAAATTGGCACAAAACTGAAGATATGACACGTTTGTGGTGTGACAAGATCAAATCAAGTGGAAAAAAGTGGGGCCATTTGACAAAATTTGAAGTTTTGGGGATAGTTGACTTTTCGCAATTTTGCAAAAATGCTCAACTTCAACAATTCATAACTTCTTCAATTTTGAACTTTTGGAAGTGTTCTTGGACTTTTTAGAAACCTTGAGATGTCCTTTAACCAACCCTCTTGGTTTCATATTATTTTGATATTCCATGCTCAATTTATAAGCTTTGGCAAAAAAGGTGTTTTTGTTGACTTTTAAAAATAACCTATAATGTCCAAATTTGTAACTTTTTGTGAGTGCATTTCTTGATCTTGGGGTATGAATATGGATTGTAGGAAATTTCATCCTCTTCAAAATGAGCTTTGTATGGGTCATTTATCATAAAGTATGAGAAAGTTATGCTTGGTCAAAGTTGAGTTGACTTTTCCTACAAAACCCTAATTTAGCAACTTTTGAATCTTGATGAATCTTGATGAATCTTGAGCAATCCTTGATGAATCATGATCAACCCTCGATCAAATGATGAATTATCCTTCAAAATGAGAATGTTGGCAAAAAAACTTGAGGTTTGACTGTTTGTAGGCCACAGTTGACTTTTGCCCTAGCACAGTCGATTTTTGGACCTCTTGAGCAATTGACTGACCAAACTTTCTCTGCAAGGCTTGAAATTGGATATGGATGAACTTCAGAACATATTAGGACATTGGGTAGCATTTGAGGCCATTTGGATGTAAGGACCTTGATTCAACACAAAACCCTAATTTTGAATTGACTGCCTTAGGAGGTGATTTGACTGTCCAACTCTTGAGTTAACTTGAGTCACTTGGAGATTATTCTTGACATGTCCTGAGAAATATGGGAGGGAAAATTTTGGGGTACAACACCCTATCTATTGGATGTGAAGGGATAGGCGAAGGGTCATTGAATGGTCATTGAAAGCAACACGTAAGGATACTTTAGCAATTTGAAGGGACTGTCATCATGTTGTTCATAGACAACAAGAGACTAGATCATCTTTTCATAGGCAACTTGAGGGATATCATGGGACTATAATCTTTATTCGAAGGGATCATGATGATTTAATCGAGGTTATTTGCTAAAGCACCCTTACTTTCGAGAGACGTGACCAATTTTTTCGAAGGGAACATAGGGAATTACCCTAGAGGTGTATGTGTGCAAACTGGTTCAATTACAGTTATGTCATCTTGGAATTGCTTAAGATTGTCTGCCAATTAATTTTATCATGTCATACAAGCCTATTACTACACAGTTATATATATACAAGGCATAAAGTATAAGTGCGGAAAAGTAAAGTACGGAAGATAAAACCTAACACTATTACATGGCCTAGAGAGAGTTACATAATAATTAAAACCTTGCAAAAATTAAAATCTAACTATTACAAATTCGACGCGGAACCTATACAATCGTCTAAATAATAAAATGAAAGAAATAATAAACAAAATGGAAAATAAGTGTTAAGAAATTACTTTTTACAAGCCTAAATGTCTAAATATTATAAGTTAATTTTGTATTTTTTTGGTTAATTTTATAAGCATTAGAAATAATTAAATTATCTAATTCTAAGTTAATTACAAACTAATTATGAAAATAAAACCAAATTTAATCAAATTAAATAAATTTTTATTTCAAAAAAGTAATTTAGTTAAATAAAAGTCTGGTTCTGATTTTATTGTATTTTTGTGATTTTTTATTGGATTAAAAATTAATTAAAAAGAATTAATGGAAAATTAAAAGAAAAAATGAAAAAAATTAGGTTAAGGCTTAAAAATAGGGTAAATAAAAAGAAATCTAGCGCTGGGGCTTGAACACGTGCCTTTCCTTTCACCATTCTTCACTCTTGCCATCTGAGCCATGCGCATTTTGTGTTTGGAAATAGAACTGAATCAATATAATGTAAACCTGTGTTAATTTGTGAAATAAGAAAAAAAATACCAAAAGGCTGGGATCGAACCAATGCCCTTCATGATACGCGCGCGTTTGCTTCACCAACTGAGTTATGTTGTTCATGTGATGCTAAAACACAAACAATATATTATATAAAAAAACAACATCAATGAACTAAAGAAGCGTCGGAGCTCTAGCTCTGGTCGTCTTCTTCGACTAGGTGCTTCATGGATCTACAAAAACAACGCATGTTAGAAAGAAAATAGGACCCTGTCTGCCTAAATCGAGGGCTACGAATCCAATGGCAGGGTTCTTTTGGCTTGAATGTTCCTGTAAACAGAGATTCGATGCAAACAGATTTTTATGCCCTAACAATGGAAGATGGAGATTCGTGCATCAAAGCTTACATGTCACATGTTAAACTTGTTCTAAACAATATTCTGAACACATTCGGGCTCATCAAACACATTAGTAATTCATAGAAATTAAGATTAAATTGAAAGAAAAAATGCAAACCGGTGGAGTTTGAAGCACGAGTTCTGGGCACTAAATCTTCTAACTCTTGGGTTGGTCGTGTTCCTGAGGACTTCAGGAAAAAGTTTGGACACCTAGTTTAGACTGCAAACGGCTGGAAACTTTGATACGACATGGCGTTATTCTTTGAAAAAATGGTGTTTTGAAACCCTATCCTCTTGTAGATTTTTTGTGTCCTTTGGCATATGATTCTGTTAAGTATATATAGAGGATGCATCAGGTCAACATAGATGGAAAGAATCTTGTGCAATCAAAGCTACATCAAACAAGAATAAAACATGTTTTTTCAAGCTTCCATATTTGAAGATTCTTGCCATTTTTGAATTCACATGGTTTTGACAATTTGGGTATGTGTTCTTGGGCTTCCAATCTGATCAAAAACAAAGCCCACATGCCTTGGTCCATCTTTTTTATTTTTTTTAATTTATTTTGTATTTAATTGAATAAAAAAAATAAATGAAATAAAAATAAAAGATAATGCATGAATGGACTTATGAGTCCTTAAACATGTTATGAACGCGTTTGAACCTAAAAACTTAGACCCATTAGCCCAAAAATGCATTTTTGCTCAAAGTGCACTTCATGCATTTTCTCAAAATTGCTCAACTTGCACCAATCATAACTCTCTCAAATTTTATCATATGAAGGTGATCTTGGACTTTTTGGAAAGCTCAAGATGTCTCCTACAACTCTTATGCTTGTAATTTTTCATTTTAAGTCTGTATCATTTTGTAAATTGCTTTGACAAAAAAATGTCTTTTTTTTTACTTTCAAAATGACCTGTAATATTTTGCCTCGTATCTCTCAAATGAAGCATTTTTGGACTTGAGCTTTAGAGAAACAAAGTTATAGATAATTGAATTTCCATCAAAATGGGCTTTGTTTGATAATTTTTTGATGAAGCGTGTGAAAGTTATGCTTGGTCAAAGTTCAGTTAACTTTTCCTAAAGAAATGGTCAAAACCCTAATTAGCAACTTTTGAATTTTTGAACATGTCTTGACTTTTCTTGATGAATCATGATCAATCCTTGATCAAATTATGAATTTGAGTTTAAAATATTGATGTTGACCAAAAATATTGAAGTTTGAATGTATGTTGACTACAGTTAACTTTTTTTCCAATACAGTTAATTTTCACTCATCTGAGCAATTGACTGAGCAAATTTGTGATGTAAGGCTTGAAACTTGACATGAAGATTATTTTAAGCATGTGAGGAACCATGAAACTCACTTTAGGCATTAGAAGCTTAATTTTCTTTGAGAAACACAAAACCCTAGTTGTAGGTCAATTGCTTAGAATAGGTGCTTGTATGCTCAAACCCTTGAGTAGTCTTGAGTGTTTGAGATCTCTAGGAGCATGAGGCGGTGTCTTGGATCAATTTAATTCAAAAATGGGAGGAAAATTTTGGGGTACAACAGCTGCCCCTGTTCAATCTTTTTTAAACCTGAAGAGTTAGATTGGCATGTACGCCATTCGCGACCTGAAGGTGGAAGAGGATTGAACATTTAAGTGCCTAGAAATTTGGACTCATATGTGCGTGAAGTGACACTGTTGGTTGATTATACTGCTTAAATGGTCTTAAAGATGCCATTCAAAGAGGTGATAGAGTGTCGCTGGGAATGGGCTTACATATGTCATCCAAAGTAACTATTGATAGGAGTATCAGAATGAGTCTACACCTGACTGTATCTGAAGAATGCTTTTCAGAAGAAAAATGCTTGCCAGAATTCAGTCTCTGGGAGAAATGCTTTTCAGAATAAACTTCTGAAGGAGAATGCTCGCTAGAATTCAGTCTCTAGGGGAATGCTTTTCATAACGAAGCCCTGAAGAAGATAGGGATAGCAACGGGGTGGGTCGGGGACGGGTTTAGCTAGCCCCGCACCCGCAACCATGTCCCTGTAGTAGACCCGCCCCCACCCCAAATCCGTTCGAGGGTAGAAATTTACCCCCAGACCCACCCCTAATGGGTAATGGGTCCCCTGCCCCCGGACCCTCCCCCACCCGCGAAAATTGCTTTTTTAAAATTAAAAAAAATACATGTTTTTTTCCATAAATTTCCTGGGCAGCATGAACAAATACATTAAACAATCCAAAATCCACCCTTAATTTGAGTAAATAATTGTAGGATTTAATATTCAAATACTATTACAAATATTTTTCAATCATAACCCTCAAATCAACAACTATGATTGGTTGTGATTCATTAAAAGAGTGTAATCTTTCAATATATCAAAGTATAAATCACGCACAACAACCAACAATTTTTTGCAAAGTGCAAATATAAAAGTAAAACAACACCATCAATAAAATAACCATTCCAAAAACATGGAACAAAATATACTAAATCATTATAACAAAAAAAGTTCTAAATAAATAATAAATTTTCTAATAATCTTCATCTTTGAGGCGGGAGTTGGAAATAGAAGTAGCACCATCGATCAACAACTCACCTGTATTAAAAAATAAAAGTTAAAACATAAAAATTTAACTTGAAAAATTTAATACAAATAGTATCAATAATACCTTCATCATCAGACTCCATTTCAGTGAGTAAAATTGCATATTCATTTCCCATGGTAGATTTCAAATTAACTATCAATATAGTAAAATATAGTCAATGATAGTCTTGGAAAGTAAAAATAAAAAATAAAAACAAGAAAGGTCTTACCATTATTCTCAGGACTCCATAACCAACTTCTTGCATACATCAAAGCTTCTAAAGTGGTCCAATGAAGTCGACTTCGATGAGGGCTTATGATATGACCATTTGTACTAAATGCAGATTCAGAAGCCACGGTAGAAACAGGAATTGTCAATACATCCCTTGCAATTACTTGAAGTGTTGTATACTTAATGTCATTCAACTTCCACCATAATAAAATATCAAAATCTGGACTTCTTGGTAAAACTTCCTCTTCCAAATAAACATCTGAGTCCATTTTAACAGATTAAGTTCTAGCTCTTTTTTTCTTATGACATACAAATCATTGTCTTTCAAACCATCATTACTAACATTACCAACATTAGCATCCAACGTTGCAGATTCACTTCTAGAATCCTTGTTCATTTTCAATTGATAATCATAAAGCAACTCGTAACACACCTGTCTGATTGACTTAACTTGGAAATCAGCATCATTCCCATAGAAGACTCCATAATAATATTCAAGCAAATTAGTTTTATACCTAGGATCCAAAACAGCGGCAATCCCCATCATTTTATGAACCACTCTCCAATATTTTTCAAACTTTACCAACATGTTTTCTGCCATTCTTTTTACCAATTCATCAGAGGATTCAATCCACTGAAGTAATGCAACTTTAATTTGACAAATCTTAGGAAAGTATTCATTGGCAGTTGGATACTTAGTTCCAAAAAACACTTCAGTGATAGAATTGAACAATTTCAATTTTCCACAAATTTCTTTTGCAAATTTCCAATGTAAACTTGTTGGCAAACAAGTGTACTGAGTTACACGGATTGCTAATCTATTAAATACTTCTTCATACAAAATTGCAACATCAAGCATCTTGTAGGTAGAACTCCATCTAGTTAGACAATCTAAAACTAAATTCTTGGTGCAAAGTATTTTTAACTGTTTGGATGTCTCCTCAAATCGTTCCTTCCTTTTAGGTGTCGCAATCCAAAATGCAACACTATCTTGAATCCTCTCTATCCCATCTTTCACAACTTCTAACCCTTATTTTACTATCAAATTTAGTATATATGCACAACAGCGCATATGAAGTAAGGCCTCGTCCCTTAATAATGTCTTCGGTTTCAACTTAGCCTTAATTTTTCAATCATTGCATCATTTGTGCTATAATTGTCCAAAGTGATAGTAGACAATTTTGTATCAATGTTCTAATCCATCAAACATTCAACCAATGCACAACAAACATTCTCACTAGTATGAGGTGCAGGAACATAAATAAACCTAACATAATAAGATTCAAAAAACTAGCATAAATGTGATTTACCTCAAAATGTGAGTCACAAAACTATATATAATGAGCAGTCAAGAAACATGTTTGCATTTTCAATTTACAACTAAAAGTGACATTAACAACTAAAAAGATAATCATTACAAACTAAATTAACAGAAAATCACCAAAGTAATGTGTAGTGAGCATTTTAGGTTTACCTCAAAATGTGACTCTGTAAATTCCAGTTTCCATCAATGTAATGAGAAGTGACAGCCATATATCCCTTTTTTTTTATTGCTCGAGGTCCAAAGGTCAAAAGTAATGGCCACTCTTCCTTCAAGATTTTCTAACAACTTCAAAGTTGATGATCTCTCCATATTGTATACTTTGAGTGTCTCTTTTTTTATAGTATTTCTACAAGGAACTTGAAATATTGGTCGGAGAGAAGTTGAGTATCTTATAAAACCAATATGATCCACTATTGAAAGAGGATATTCATGCAAAATAATTGCATGTGAAAGCTCTTTTTTAGAATTTTCTGCATCATAAATTCCAGTACTCAACTCTTGTTTACCTTGCATGGTTCTATGCGCAAGAAATGTATGTCTCTTATCAGATGGTTTCAAAAGCTTCTTTTTATGACAAGATCCTAAATGTCCTTTTAAACGTGTCGTTCCATCATTTGATGATCCATTAAACTGCTTTGAGCAATAATTAGATTGAGCCTTATCTTTTCTATCAACTTTGATCTTTGTAAAATGATCTCATACAAAAGTTCTATGTCTGGATCGACGACTTACGGTCATTTGGCTATCAACCTCCATATTATCATTTGGTGTGGTAGGAGGAGCATCAATTGATTGGTTACCACTTTCATTGGGAATTGGTTTATGTGTACTTTCTTGTGAGATAGGTGGACATTGTGTTTGAGAGATACCATCATTTTCCATAACTAATTATCCTGTAAAGTAATTAAGTTGCACATAAGTCTCACAGTAGCATTTACAAGAATAATTAATTTGAAAAAATGATTAAACACACACAAATATCAAACACACACTCCAAAAATATGAGCAAGTTAAGCAAATCAATAAACTATCATTTGGGAAAACTCTCCTTACTTCCAAAAATACTGAGAATAACTCTTCATTTTACACTATAAGTTGTATGAGTTTTCCAAAAAGTGAGCTTATATGTGCTAACCCATTTTTTGGGACCTAATTCATAAACTTGTTACAACCATGAATCTCTATTCATGGAGACCTGGGTCAAAGTTTCATTGTTGCATTTTAAAATATGCATAGTCTCTAACAGCTGCACTGACTTTTATGCAACATTATTGAAGCAAGTAAAAAAACAAAGATGACATTATTCTGCTTTATTTTTTCATGAAGCACTTTATGAGCCTTTTGTTGACTTGTTTTTTAACTTGTATTTCCATGCAGAGTGATACTCGTCTTGCATTGTTAATTTCTAATGCTGCTAATAACTTTTGATGTTTATTTTTATGACACAGGATCCTCTAGGTAATGTCAAAGACATCCAGATCGCAAAAAAAGGGAATCCCCTGTTCACTTGATTTTCTTCCCGAGGTATACAATTTTCAGACAACACTGTTTGATAAATGATCATATAGATAGATGTAGGAAGTGAATGTTTTCTATTTACTAGATTTCTTTGTTCAGCATTTGTAAACAATGTCATGTAAGTATTATGTACTTAATTTTTGTTTCATTACAACCCCTGCTACATCATTCAATTTGTTGGTTGGTTTATCATGAAAATTTAGTGACGAGAAATCTCATGCATACAATAAATTTTGAAAATACCAAATGGTATTCTCTTTAGCATGTACATCATTGATGAAAAGAAAATGAAGAAAGCAATTAAGTTGAAGAATTATGTATTCAAAGAATAAAATATAGCTTATTTATCCGCCCAATCAAGGATTGAAACTTATGACAAATTTATCAAGGAACAAAGAGGTAATTTCAATATTCTTTCTTTTCTTCTCTGTATTTTTAAGATTTTAATTATACAGGTTAACAGTTTATACCTTTGGTTTATGTTTTCATAATTAAGTGTGGTCCAGTAAACCATCAAATTATACTTAATAATGCTCATGAATCATGATTTTTTGTATGAAATCATCTGTCAGTGAGTTGTTAGCTGAGTATAGCAGGATTGCATAAAACTTTCTGCAACTATACTACAGTTCATATTAGAGAGATCTGGAAACATTGATTCGGGCTAATTTACCGAAGTAAAACTTTAAAACACTATTTCACCAAGACATGAAGATTCAACACAGCAAGACAAAAGGGAAGGGGAAGAAGGCAAAAAACCTAATTATACACAAATCTTTGATTCAAGAAAGAGGATATAGATCTAACCTTTGAATTTGAAATCCAACGGCTGAGCTGAAGAGCTGGTGTGCGTCGGAGTTGAGGGGCTTGCGCACAGGGGGACGTTGTCATGGTGATGGCAGAAACGACGGTGGTCGACACTGTTTCCGGTTCTGCGTTGAGAAGTTTTTCATGATCATGTTTCTATGTTGGCCGTGGAGAAGAGGAAATAAGGTTTTCAGTTTTCACGGTGCTATAATATGTGAGAATTGAGAATATTAATTAACATTAAAATAATTAAAATAAGGGAATTAATGTAATTGCAGTATTTGGGTCGGGTACGCGTGCGGGCGGGTGCTAGTTTCTAACTGTCCCCGCCCCCGTGCCCGTAGTTAAAAACCAGGTTTTAGCCGCACCCGCAACCTAATTAAACTGGGTTTTCCCCGTTAATTTTAGAGCGAGTGGGGTCCAGCGAGTCTGGGTCTTTTTTCCATGCCTAGAAGGAAATGCTCATCAGAATTCAATCTCTGAACGAAACATCTGTTCATACAGATAGTCGCCCCGTCCTATTTCGGGAATTGATCTACAATCTATTTTTTCATTGGTAAATACATCTAGTTTCAGGAATTCATACCGCCTGGTCATATAGATAGTTGCCTCGTCCTGTTTCGGGAATTAATCTGCAACCTATTCTTTGTTGGTAAACTTGTCCTATTTCGGGAATTCATATTGCCTGGTCATATAGATAGTTGCCCCGTCCTGTTTCGAGAATTAATTTGCGACCTGTTTTTGTTAGTAAACTTGTCATGTTTCGGGAATTCATATCGCCTGGTCATATAGATAGTTGCCTCATCATGTTTCAGGAATTAATCTGTGACCTATTTTTTGTTGGTAAATCAGTCTTGTTTCGAGAATTCATACCGCTTGGTCATACAGATAGTTACCTTGTCCTGTTTCAGGAATTAATGTTTGACCTGTTTGAAAATTGTTGATGATATTCGTCTATTTGCAAACTTTATCTAAAAAGACAAAATTATCTTTATGTAATGTCATGATGTATGTAATGCATCGTGTAATGATGCTCTCAAAATAAATGACAATGTTATAAGCATTTCGGTATGCATATGCTATGAAGTATTATGAAATGATGTAAGGATGCAATATGTCATTGAAGCGTATCGATAGTTCCTTGTAACAATGTCTAGCTGGGGAAAATAAATCACGGATTGTTGCTGAAGAAAATGATTCTTTAATTTCTGCTAGAAACAATTTTGTTGGGGATTCCCGCTTTCTGTTTGAGGATACTCTGTTAAGGATCTTCGACTTCTACTTGAGGATAGATGCATTCAAGGAGAGTCGATCGTTCTCCATTCTCTTTGTTGAAGGATTTGATTCGTATGTACCCTGACTGGGGATAAAAGAGATGGATATTCCTCCGGTGTGCTATTTGTCCAGGTTTCAGATACCGTAGAAACTCTTCTGGGGATAGCAACTTTGATTAAACCCTGCTGGAGAAGAGAATTTTTTTATGGATTTACGGTGTTAGAGTAATAAACTTCGCTGGGGAATTAAATTCCTGTAAACTGTGTCGAGGAAATAAATTTTGATAGGGATTGGAATTTTATAGGTTGCGCTGAGGAAGTCTCCATTGTATGATGGAGAAATGATCAAACTTCCTTATCCTCTAGGGGACCTATTGGGAATGATGATCAGGTCAAGCTATCCATTAGGGATTTAGAGGTTAACTACTGGAAGATGCCCCAATTTCTGCCTTAGGACATATTAGACTTGTTGGGGAATATATCTTTGTTGGGTATGAGCTTGCGAAGATAGCTCTGTAGAGATAGTTTCATGGAGATTGCTTTGTGGGGATTTATGAATGACTTAAACATTATCCAAACCCTAGAGTCTTTGATAAATTATAATCCTGTTTTTTTATGCAAATATTTGTAAATGGTGATCATATTCAAATGTATATGTTCATTCAAAGTAACCATTGGAGGTATTCGCAAACAAAATAGAGGAAGTAAAAACAAATATTTTTGAATTTTGAAATAGACTGAGTTGTATTGATTTTGAAAGTTTGCCTATGAGCAGACAGTTTTATACAAGGAGACAAAAGTCCTGGTAAGAGAAAGTTGTGAAATTGAAAAAATACAAAGTGATAAACAAGAAAAATAGCTATGTGGAAATGATCCCATTGTGTTTCAACTCTGCTATTGCCTCTATTTCTTCAAGCATCTCATCATTTTCCGTCAGAAGAAGATGACTCGATTGATCTGTACTATTTGATCTTGACGTTGATAACAAAACTTGATGTAAGTAGATGATCCAATGGGGCGTAGTCATATGCTTCAATCCCTAACTTTTGCCTGGACCTCCCTTTCGGGTTTTCAGTCCACCGGAATACCCTTTTTTGCATAAGCCGTCTTTTCAGGTTTTTGACTTGTCGGGTGTACAATATATATATATATATATATATATATATATATATATATATATATATATATATATATATATATATATATATATATATATATATATATATATATATATATATATATATATATATATATATATATATATATATATATATATATATCCTTAATTTTTGCCTGAACCCTTTTGGTTCGCCGGGACGCCCTTATTTTTTCCTAGGCCAGTCAACCTAGCGGGTCTCTTTTATGCATAGTATTTTTTGACTATGTCCGTATTCATAGGGTGCGGAAAATCTTTGTCGTCCATGGTGGTAAGTATCATAGCACCGCCAGAAAATATATTTTTGATTACAAATGGCCCTTCATATGTTGGAGTCCATTTTCCCCTGGGATCATCTTGTGGTAGGATGATGCTTTATTACCAAATCACCAGCTTGCTACACCTGATATCTAACTTTCTTGTTTAAGGCCTTGATCATGCATTTTTGGTACATATGACCATGACAAACAGCTGCAAGCCTTTTCTCCTCAATCAAATTTATCTGGTCCAGCCTAGTCTGAATCCACTCGTCTTCATCTAAACTTGCGTCCTTCATAATCCTTAGGGAAGGAATCTGGACATCGATAGGTAAGATAGCCTCTATACTGTAGACTAGAGAGAACAGGGTTGCCCTAGTTGATGTACGTACTAAAGTGTGGTAACCATGAAGAGCAAATGGTAGCATCTCATGCCAATCTTTATACGTCACCGTCATCTTCTACAAAATCTTCTTGATATTCTTATTGGCGGCTATCACT